ACAACTTTTGAATGTTAAGAAACCTTATATTTCCTCAAGTATCAGTACTTAATGTTTTGTTCCACACATAAAACTCTGTGATTGGAAGGCTGCTGGCCCCCTTGTCAGAGGTAATTCTCAAGGCTCTGCATGGGATTTAACGGGAGCCATATGGTTAAGTCCATCAACCCTCCCAGAAAGCATCCCCTGAAGGGCTCTCGTAAATGTTCTCAGTGCTGTGAAAGATCCAGCAACTTTCTAACAATAAAGCAATGTTCATAGTCATGATATTCAACAAAACATAAAGCAGGAAATAATGGCTTCTGGTCTGAATTACTCAAAGAGGGCTTCAAGATGCCCTGGGGAATGGCCATGGGCCAGTGATGACCTGGGACCTGCTGGCCTGTTGCCTCCACAGGAAGAAGGCTGGCCTGAATGTCACTTGCATTAGCTTGTGGTAGGCAGTGACAGCTGTCTTGTGGTGGGCAGTCTTCATCATGCTCTGTTGGTTTGTGGAGTTTAAGAAAACTTTTAATAATGGATTTGTACACCTATGCATTTACAGAGCAAGTACACTCTTAAACTCTAAACTGCTTATTATTTAAATCTTCTTTAAGCCATGCCTTTCTGTGATGGCATCATTTGCTGACCTCTCTCCATTTTTTTGGGCTTCCTTTTTCAGAGCAACAATGACAAAGAAACCCTTGAGTTAATTTACATCCTCATCTCCATGGACAGCTCAAGCAGCAACACCAATTCATACAACAAAACCATATGACTCCTCTGATAGGAGAGGTTCTCTTGCTTTTAACACCAACAAGTTCTAAGATGCAATAAGATTTTCATTATTATTATCATCATCATCATTTTCCTCGGTCATGTCCATTGAGCTATTTTGTATGGCACATAGTGTCAGGGACAGCAAAGAGAAAAGAGAGAAAGAAGCACAGAAAGGGTGAGAGAAGGTACAATTTATGATGAGTGTCAACTCCTTTCTATTGTTTTCATAAAAATCATATTTTATATAAATATTCTACAATATTTTATATGAATTTCTGGCTAAGTGTTAGTTCTAGAGTGCCTCGCTATAGCACCATGCAAAGAGAGTTTATGGCCAAGTAGCCAATATGCCCACATATCACATGGACATGTATTTTTCAGGACTAATTGGTATAAAATCAGGGAGAGGTCACATATGTTCGCTGTTTAACATATTTTGAAGTTTCTAGTATATTTACTAGAATATTTCACAATGGACCAGATATCTTCTTTCCAAATATCAGTCTTGGTAGGAACATTTGTGTATTCTGATGTTAGATGTATCACACTTCCACTGTAAACAATTACTGTCAAATAATATCCACCAATAATCTAACCAGCTTATATATTTTTTCAATCTGTACAGAGAATTAACATTTTAGAACATTTTAAATACAGGAAGAAAATTGATGGAATATTTTGGCAGTGGCTCCCATAACCTGTCAGAACTCAGCACTTATACCCATTCTTGCAGAACTCCACACTCCATATTATCTTCATTGCTCTCCTGAAGAATGACTGATCATGAATTACTCACTATCATTTACTCCAAAAGAGAAATAGACTTCTTCAGGGAAGCTGGGATCTATCAAGATCATAGCCACCTACTCATCTGAGTATTGGCTCCTACAGAAATGTCTCATGTGAGAGAAGACAGAGAGAGAGATAGACAGAGATAAACAGAGAGTCAGAGAAAAAAAGAATTTGCACTACCACTACCTGCTCATCTACCATTTTCCCCAGGCTTTGCTGGCTTGATACTGAATTAATGAGCCTGTTACATGATATCTAATAAAAATGACTAGAGTAGAGATCTTGGAATCTGCCACATATTTGGTCCAAGGATGAATCGATTTCATCTATATTTAACACATGCTTGTTTTCTGTCTCACTTGTCTCCCCCACAGCCCGTGCCTCACTCTTTTTTCCCATCTGGAAAACTTATCTCTTAAAATGCTGCCATCAATCAGCCAAAGACACTCTTCCCGACAGAGTGTCTGCCAGTTTGACAATGCACAAGTAGTCACTAGTTTGGGGATACCTCCCACACTCTCTAGTGCTGTGTGTTTTTCTAGCCGGCCTAACCACACAAGTGCAATTTGGGATATTTATACTTACCTCCAGCTTCTATTGGGATAACAGCACTACTTCCACAGAACTGGAAAAAGGGCACGGCAGAGCATGAAAGGGGATGAAATGAAAGTTGCCATGTTGCTTGTCTAACTACTGTTCATCTTATTTCTTCAGATTTTTGCGTTTCCACCCATTTTGGAACAATGTAGCTCAGTGCCTACTCAGAAAGTATGAAAATCAAATGCTTACTAGGATGCATACTTTGTCTCCCAAATCCATGAGAACTAACACTGCTCCCATTTCCCAGTCCTTCATGTCAGTACCACTCTCAATACATCCAAGCCTCTAAGCTTAAATACAGCCTGAAAGGAGGGGGCAGAAAGGAGAGCAAAAGTGGGGTTAGCAGCAGAAGCTGAGCACTGGTAGAAGGGGAGGAAAAGACCGGGAGTGGGAGACAGGCGGCCCCCTTCCTCTGCACAAAGTCCCAGTCGTGAACACACCCACTGGCCACAGCAAAAGGGCACTGTGCATGGGCACAGGTGGGTCCCAGCCCCTCTGGCTGGATGCAGCTTAAGCACAGAGCCTGAATGAAGACTTTCATTGCTGTTTGCTGTTTTTGTTGGCCAGTTGCCATGGCAAACATTTGCAGGTGGCTTGGCCAGATTTTGACACTTAAATATTTGAGGTTGTGATAAAAATCAGAATATTACTACAATATGGTTCTGTGCAGCCTCAAAAAAAAAACTATCTGCAATTTCAAATGCTCATTTAAAGACACAGTCTCCAGAGGGAACTCATGTTTTAAAATAAGTACTCATTTCCTCTTTGCTGAGAGAAATAAAAGAGTCAACCATCCCCAAATGTTACCACCTAGAGTTTCATTCTGAATCCACTGTGAGATGGGTTGGCTTGTTCCTTGCTGAGCCCCCATGATCATCCGGGCAAGGTTTTGAATGGGTCACATAGAGAAAATGGAAATGACAGGATGTGTGGGTTGAAATCAACATGGTAAGCACAACAGGGAGTAGGATCCGAAGAAAAGAAACAGCCTCCCTCAAGTCTGGCAATGAGACAGAGTCCTAAAAGTGACAATTATCTCCTGGAACACACCAGACATACAACACCCCAGGACTGGGAATAAATGGGAAACGGAGTGGGTCAGGAGGTCACAACTATCAGAGAAACACCCCCACCCATCCAAGCATAGTGACATGGCCTAGAAATGTCACCCAACTGTACAGCCTTGGGCCAGCTAGGTAAATTATTGACAGAGTCAACACCCATCCCAGAATTTAGGGCTAACCCTTAAAAGGCTGTTTCACAAAAACCGGCATTGTACTAACAATGGCCGAATACTAAGGGCCTCCAAGAGGGTAGCTGGGGACTGGTGCAGGGAGAGGCAGAACTCCAGGGGAGAAGGAATGCTGTAAAACTGCTAGTAAACTTTAGCACATTTTATGTTTTTTCCCTTTGAAGGAAAAATAAAATAATTATAATTAGCTGGCCAATTGTGAATTGTCTGCCCAAAGCCAAGCCACTAGAGTGAAGGAGTCCCTTGAGATTTCGACAACCCACCCCACCCTCTTAGTATATTATTATAGGTTCTTGCTTTAGATAGTGGCAACATTTGCTTGCATAGTCATCTGAGAAGAAAAGAAGTCTTTAACAGAGACAGTTGCTAATTGAGTGCTGACTTCTTCAAACAGAGGCAAGGATTCAAATGGCTGGATTCATTTCCTATTTCTTGAATGAGAAACTAAACGGACCCACAGCAAACTCACAAAATTGTCATTGCCCACAACTCTCATTTGTTAAGGTAGGTCTGCACATGTCACAATCCACTCAGATAAGATGAAAAATATGAGGCAAGGTACCCCTTCTAGAGCATTTGAAGGAGGAATAAGCCAGTGGTGTCCCCAGTACTCGCTTTTGGTCTGTTAATTCTTACCAGCATTGGAAACAAGGGGGAAAAGACACACTGACAAATTGTGGGACAACTTCTAATTTTTTTACATTACCATATCCAATATTCAATTGAATATATTCAAACTTCACTCTGATGTATATCCCAAACACAGCAGGCTCCCTTTGCTGTTTTAAACTCTGGGAACATAGAGCAACCAGTTTTCAGCATCCAACAATAAAAATTTATCATAGCTCTTTGGCTTAAGTTATTATCTTCTCTTCCTAAGAACTTGAATGCTCTTAAATATTTTATTTCTTCTTCACTATACTCTTGCGAGGGTGGAAAAAAGAGACACCATCCTCATTCTGGAGATAAGGAAGCTGAGATTCTGCATTTCTAAGAAGCTCCTGGCTAATGCCCAGGCTGCTGGTCCTCAGACTCCACTCTGAGTAGCACAGGAATAGAGCTCTCACATGATACTCAGAAGTGAGAGCTCTTTCCATCCCATAATACAAAGTGTGCGGGACCATCCTACCAATGCCTTGGGATTATCTTTTTTATGTAAATGAGAGGGAGAGGGCCTGCTTTCTTTATCCTGTCTATTCCAGGAATGACTACGGACCAATAGAGAGAGAAGGGAGAAACTTCTTTCTACCATCCTCAAGTATTTGTCTTGAGAACTATGCTGTGGACTTTATAACACCCATAGAGTTTCCTGTAGTCATCTTACAATTCACAAATCTTGTTTGAAGAAACAATGATACAGAATGACTTGCTCCCCAACCCCTACCCCAAAAAGTCAGGGTCAAAGAGCATCCACCAAACAGAGATCCTTGTCTCCCTTCTCCTATCAAAAACATCACTGTGAGCTCTAGGCAATATCACATCAGCCAGGAAAACCAACTTCTGTCTCATCCAATCCGGGCACTAGAAACAAGAAGAAAATCCAGAACCTTTCCTGAGCTCCAGCCAGGCCCCAGAAACAACAAGGAGGTCTCCTTACCCGATCTGGCGGTTGGTGGAAGGTGCTTGTGTGATGACAGAGCTGGACTGGGGTGACGGCATGGCTTGCTGAATCACAACACTGGTGTCATGGTTGGGCATCCGTGTGCTGCCAAGCTGGTGAGCTCCAGGCCCTGCCATGGCCCCACCAACTGTATTATGCATCGAGATATTCTGCCCAGAGAAGACAGAGGGGAAAGGTCAGAGGAAGCCAATGTTTTATCCTACTTTCAAACTCTCAAAGACCAAAATTGGGAATCTGGTTATGTCAACTAAATAGAGAGTTATGGCTTCTGGCAAGCCATGGGTCCATTCATCTTGTTATAACTTACAACTATGAGAAGATGAAAAATAACTATTTGCCCTAAGAGTAAAGCACATAAGAAAATACCTTGAAGTTCACTAATCACACTGCCGCCATCCTGATGTGAGGTTTACATCAGGGACGTTTAGTGACTCAGTGTGATATATACTGCATTTGAAAATGATTTCTACGGTATGTGCTTAATACTGTGATTTAGTGAAGAGCCCTTTGGCATTCTGCTTTGAATGACAAGCACACTGGGTTATTTTTTTTCTTTTGCAGTCAACCACTATATTTTCCCCAGGAAAACATACTTTTCCAAATTGTAATCTGGGTACCCATGACCCAAGCCTCAAAACTGGGAGGATGGATGATTGGAACAGACAAGGGGGTGTCTGGGATCCAATAAAACAAGAGCAAGAGTTGCAACGTCTGCTATATTTCCATAAAATCAATTCATAACAATGTTATGGAATCACAGAATACAGGATGAGTGACTGTCTGTTTTCTTATTCATTATCTTTCCCTCTAGAATGTAGAATGTTTGTGTCCAAAATGCTATCTCTATGTTTGGAACATAGTAGGCATTCAGTAAATAACATATTGTATGAACAGACTAGTGAAGGAAAAAATGAGACTAAGTTGCTTGAGGGTTCTAATATTTATTTCCGATGACTTGGATAAAGGTTTTGTTTAAAATTCAAAAGTGAGGTAAAAAAATTAGCTTAAAAGACAGCTCTTCCAGAAAAGAAGGTCACTGGGACAAGAGAGGATACATATTGAAGCTAGGAAGGCTGATCAACATGGTGGGGCTAAAATATGAAACATTCAGAACCTAGAAAATAAAGAGTAAGTGCAGGGCAAAGCAAATTAAGTTATGGCCTCTGTAACCACCAGGTACAGAACTTCAGCCTAGGAGAGGAGGGAAATTCGAGAGGTCATTTGGACAATGGGTTGAGGATGGCAGGAAAGAAATGAAGTGTCACTAGCAATTTACTGGAGGGAAAAAATATATATATATATATATCTGCGCTTTGGGGTTAGCAAAGAAAAAAAGTAAATGTTACCCAAGAGAACTGGAAGTGGTTCTTTGAAGTTCTTCTGCAAAGAACAGGATTTCCTGCACTACGTGTTAAATGATGGTGATAACATATATGGTACTTGGGGTGGCTGTGTCCATCACATTGCACCTTTCCCACGTTTCTGATTTCTAACTCCTGACCACACAGTTTGTTAGGAGTCCAGATGGAAACTGGGCACCTGGCTTAGACTGTGAGTGACTGTTTTGTCGTGGGTTCCCAAAGGCATGAACAGGCTTCTACATACACACGCAGTCCAAAGCTCCTCTTATATACTGGGAGGCTTTTCTGATGTGGGAAAATATTGTGGTTGGGTAAAGTAACATGAAAGGAAGTGGTGATTTGTATTGGGGTGGCACTGCAGGGACATGCTTGAGTTCTTTTTATAGGATCTAGAGACATAGAGAATTAAACTTAAAATAATGAAAATAAAAATAATTGTGTTATTTCCTTTGAAAGTGAACCTTAACAAACTTACTTTCCTGGGTCCTAATGAGATCTTGATGAAGTAAACAATTACAAGTATTATTTTTTTCCATCGTTTGGATCCTCAAAGATACTAAAGAGTTTTCATCTTGCTCGCTGTCACCTACTTTGTCAATAATATAATCCCTAACTCTGTTTTTAGAAGCTGCATGATTAAACCTTTAAAATAATATAAAATCTATGACCTCTTTTTGAGTTACATTTAATATCTCTTTTCTATTGCCCCCACATTCAGTCCCCAAATATTACAAATTCAACTTAAGCATCCTATATCTCTGTCTTTCCATCTATCCTTCCACCAGCTTACATCCATCCAGCACCATCTCCTTTCCTGGACTAGACAGTGGTCTCCTAGTTGGTCTCCTGTCACTCACTTTAGCTTCCCTTCCTCCTCTTTCCCATATTATAACCACAGGAATCTTCTCAAAAGGCAAAACTGATCATATCTCTACAATTCCCCCTACCACCCTAACCCCAGCTTCTTGAATGGCTGGCTTCCTATGGCTTAGAAAACACTGACAGCACTCTTTGGATGACCTTCAAGGCCTGTATGGGATCCTTCTACCTCCACAGCCTGCCTTACACCGTCACTCTAGCTCCCTGTGACTTATTCCACCATACTGAAATGTTCCTGCCTTTAAACTGACCATGCTTGATTTCAGCTCAGGGCCCTAGAATCAGCTCTTTTCTGTTGCCTCTGCTCTTCCCCTGACTACACCTTCAAATGCTAGATCAAGCATCTCATGAGGAAGCCTTCCCTGACCTCTCCAATGATTGGGCATCATCTCCCTTTCTTTTGTAGTATTTTTCACAATATTACAATTATTTTTTTATTATTTTATTAACATGTTTCTTCCTCTAGAACATGGGTGGGGAACCTTTATTCTGCCAAAGACCATTTGGGTATTTATAACATTATTTGCAGGCCATACAAAATTATCAACTTAAAAATTAGCTTGCTATATTTAGTCAAACATTTAATTAACTCATCCCTAATGCCTTGGCAGGGCCAGACCAAATGATTTGGCAGGACTTATACAGCCTGTGGGCCAGATGTTCCCCACCCCTGCTCTAGAATATAAGTGCACTGAGAGAAGGGGCTAAATCTGATTCTATTCCCATTGTGTCTCTATTGCATAGGTCAGTGGCATATAGTAGGTGCTCAGTAAACGTTGAGTGAATAAGTTAAACATAAAGTATCACTCCTAGAACATTCAGTATGATAAAATCTTATCTTTTGTCCCCTATGCAATTTTTCAGAGTGCTAACTTCTTATCTATTTACCTCAAAATCTCTAAGTATACTCACAATAATACAGTTTTAGATGAAGATACTTGTTCAATTATGGGCTAAAGAAATAGAGAGGATCAGGATTAATAAAAAAGCCACAAATATGGCATGTAGATTGGAAAGTAAAGCCTTTGTAAAATATTAAATGAACCTTTGGAGGAAAATATAAAGTAGTGAGCTTCAAATCTGAGAACTTTGGCTCAAATGATGGCAACAACCATTCTTTTTTTCTACCATGAAAACTAAGAAAAACTGACTTGTGCTGCAGCCCAAATACATGGGTTTCGTATCTTCAGAGTAAAGCATTTTAAATGAGAGAAAGAAGTAAGTCCCTCCACCCCCTGCCAAAACCAGTTTAAGATTCTTCCCTGAGAATCATTTTTAAAAAAATACAAAGGACTATCTAGGAAAATACATTCCCCTTTCCCCACCAAAATCATCTCTTTGTCTCTGCGATCCCCACCAGAGATAGAAAAGGCATCTGAAAGTTATATTCTAATTCTTCAATAATATGCTTTCTCCCCCACACATGAAATCAGCACATTCTCCAGCCTCCTTCCCCATACACAGAGGGTAATTTCAAAACATAGTGGAAAAAGAAACAATTAGACAAGCATTATTATTTCATATTAGTAGGAGATAATCTTTTTTTTCTTTAAGCATTACGTAGTAACTCAAACATGAAATTACTTTCTGAGTTCACATTTTCCCAATTATTGGTTCAAAACCTGTCTTCATTGATAAAAGAATGGCATTTTACCTCCAGATAAATTAAATATCCAATTTCAAAAATACAAAGAGTGACCCTATCTTGCTGAGTTATTTCTCTGGTAGAGGTGCATAGATTTGGAGCTGGTGAAACAATGTCACAAAACCAGTGGACTTATGTCAATATGCTCGGAAGGATTGGGGGGTGTTCCTTGAAGTTCGGCCTTTGGCCTTTTCTTGTTTAACATATTTATTAACAGCTTGGATGAAGATGTAAAAATTGTGCTTGTCAACTCTACAGTTGACACGTGTTGGGAGGCATAGCTAATGTTCTGCATAGTGGATTCAGGTTTTACTGAGCCAACTGTGTGATCTGGCCTCCAAAAAATGCTAACATAAATCTAGGTGGTTGTAAGAGAAGTGCAAAGTCCAGATCAAGGGAAGTAATTATTCCCCTGTAGAGCACGTTGAACTGACCACATTTGGCGACCACATTTTAAGGGGGAAATTGACAAATAGGATGGAATGAAAGCCACGACATCCAAAATGCATCACAGGAAGAACAGTAGAAGAATCAGGGAATATTTAGTCTGGAGAAGAGAAGACTTAGAGGGTCGTGATAACTGTCTTCAAATATTTGTGGGATTAGATATAGTATCTGTTGCTCCAGCAGCCATAATTTCAAAAAATGATGATAAAAGCCAATAATAACTACAATGTGAGTACCTATTTTGAGGCAGCCACTATGGGAGATGCTTTATAAACTGTACTTCTAATCCTCACAATGACCCTATAAAGTAGGCATTATTCTCCTCATTTTAAGATGAGGAAAGGGTGAACTCTGCACCATGACTAAGGCCATGCCATTCACCACCGCTGGCCACCTTCACTCTTTCTGGATTGATACTTTAAGAATATGAATTTTGCCGAAACCGGTTTGGCTCAGTGGATAGAGCGTCGGCCTGCAGACTGAAAGGTCCCAGGTTCGATTCCGGTCAAGGGCATGTACCTGGGTTGCGGGCACATCCCCAGTAGGAGATGTGCAGGAGGCAGCTGATCGGTGTTTCTCTCTCATCGATGTTTCTAACTCTCTATCTCTCTCCCTTCCTCTCTGTAAAAAATCAATAAAATATATTTAAAAAAAAAAGAATATGAATTTGACCTTTTGTTGGGATACATTTACCATGAGTAGAGATATCCCAAAACAAAACAAGTTGCCTTATAAAGTACTGAGCTTCTGGCATCAAAGTTAAGTCAGCAGAGACCAGTGGTCATCTGTCAAGGATGTCAGCAAGATGATTCTTGTA